GCAGCAGCATAGACGGCAGGCTCCAAGAGTCCGCATCCCGCTGGCTGGAGAAACTCCCTGAGGAGCAACAGGCAACGCGCGTGTTGGTTCTGTCCTTGATAGCGCAGCTAGTCGGGCAGCTCGTGGCTCATGGTCGGGTGGAAGCTGTAGTGGCAGAGAAGGGGAGCATCAGATCTCTAGAGCCGCGCGAGCAACAGCGCCTGCACTCTTCTGCTGCTTCTGCCTTCACTAAGGCTTCCCCCTTGCCGCTGCTGTATGAGTGGCATGGCAAGCAGTACTTGGGCGCAGCCCACGGCATCTGTGGAATCCTCCTCCAGCTCCTGCAGGCTGTAGACACTCTGTACCACGCGGCTGCGGCGGGCTGCTTTCCTGGTCCGGCGGCGAGGGCCGGCGGATCTGCTGCGGCAGCGCTTGTTGCAGCTGCAAGGGAGGCGGAGCAAAGCAAGGAAGCAATCCGGGAGGAAGCGGAGTCAGCTGCTGCGCGGCTGCTTGCCTGCTCTGCGACCGTGTGCAGCGCAATGCAGCACAGGGAAAGAGAAGATGTGCCCATTTTCTGTCCTGCAGCCAGTGCTTTCCTGTGCTGCCACGACGGGCTGGCTGCTGCTGCTGCACTGCGAGACACGGTGCGCCGGTTGTGTCTTTCTTCTTTGATGGCGCTGCTGCGCTTCCACCTCACAGACACAGCAAATCTCAAGAGCAGCATCGGCAGTGACCGAGACCTGCTTGTCCAGTGGTGTCATGGGGCCCCTGGTCTCGTGCCTGTGATTTGCTGGGCAGTGGACTTGCACAGAGAAAAGGCACTGGCTCATGCCCAGCATCAGCGGCACCAGCAGGGCTCTCTTAGCAGCGACAACGGCCTGCTTCCAGAAGATCGGCCAACGCAGGAGGAGCAGCACCGAGAGAAGCAGCAGCAACAGCAGGAGCAGCACATGCCGAATTTGTACCGCCGTCGCTCATCTACCAGCGCAGACGCGGAACTGAAGTCGAGAGAGAATTTGGGCTTCTTCATGGTGTGGCTGGACACAATGGGAAACGTAACGTGGCAGCGAGGTCTGTTGTGTAAGGGTTTGGGTGTGTGCCACGGCATAGGGGGCAATGGCATGGTTTTTCTATGCGCCTACAACAGCTCTGGCAACCCTCGGTGGCTGCGTCGCGCGTTGCTGTTTGCCCTGGAAGGGATTATTCGGCACCTGCAGCTGCTGCATCTGCCTGATCGGCCTTGGAGTCTCTTTGAGGGAGCTTCGGGCTTTTCGGTCTTTCTCAGGGACTGTGCGGAGGCGCTTTTTGCTGCATGCACTGGCAGCACTAGGCCCACCACCGCGTATTACATTGGTTACCAGCTTCCACCTTTGCCGTGGGAGCAGTCTGTGCGCAGTGGGTGAGCCTCCTGCTGTAGCTGCTCGTGCTGCAGTAACGCATTGGTCATGGCTTTTCAGTGCAGTGTGCTCTCAGAAGGCGGCTGGTGGGAACAGTGGAGCCTTCACTGCTCTTCGCCTGTGCGCGCTTCTACTGCAACGGCTGGTTAGGCAGTTTGCTTGTTTTATGTTCTGTAGTTAGGGGAGAGTTTCGTTGTCTCGACTGTCTCCTCGCTCAAAGTGCAGGCTGACCGCAAAACCGGGAAGCCGCAGGAGGCCAATGCCTTCTCAGCGTTTAGTGTCCCAGTTTTTGTTGTTCTATGGTTTCAGTGTTTATTAAAGGTTGTCTAAGCACGTGCTGTGAGGACCTCTGTCGTTTTGTTGCTGTCTGTTTAGCTGTATTTACACTTGTACGGTGAAGAACAGTATGCGGGCAGGACAGCATTCGTCGCAGTGTCTTCATGTTGCATTTCCGATTCAATTCCGTGTTTGCGGAGAGGCGTCCGGGCCTTGGGTCTTGCGAGTGCTCGGGAAGCACTGCGGCCCCACAAGTATTGGAGAGGAGTAGTTCCTCGGCTTCATTCCCACCTCTCCTCGGCACATGGACAATTAATTGAGACAAGGACAGAAAGTGGTGAAGACAAACAGGCAGCGAGGACAGATGAAGAGGCAGCTCGGCCCTGCATGATGGTTGAAGGCTTCCTCATGGCGGAGACAGAAGTGTCAGAAGAGTTATACTGTGGCACCTTTTAGAAGTGCAAGGGATGTTCCTCTACAACCAAAAGGAGTAAAAGCGTGACTTTTTGGCGTTGCGTGTTTGCTGTACTCAGCGCCTCATTATTAATGTCTCCTGAGTTGGTCGGACCAAGCAATCAATTGACGTGTTGATTAGATGGTTTATCAGTTGACGGGCTAAATAAATGACTAATTGGAATGCTGGCGGGGGAACTGTAGAAATTACACTGTGCCCACCGTCTTTATCCAAGCCCATCTCTCCGGGGCGGACTGAACTGTGCACAGTTTGATTCAAACTCAATTGAGCCTCTAATTGAGAAGTCTCTGTACTACGTTGCCTGAATGTTTGTCGCCTGTAGCTGGCCAGTTACATTCGCCAGTGACAGTCTACACGCACCGGGCAGTTGCTACTGTCGTACATACGGCAGCCGCAAAAGACGATCGCCACACTAGACAGGAAAGGAACCGCAAAGCCCGAAAAGATAGCTCATTGTAGGGTCGCTGCCACTAAGCAGTAAAGGCGCACGCGCAGAGTTCACCATGCACGACGAGAGGAGCTGAAAATATAGCTAAGGGGCTACGCACTTGACGCTACGAAGACGGGACGGAGCTCCCAGCCAAAATAGAATAGCCACGCGCTTCCCGGGTGATGCAGCTTAAAAGCCATAAGTTCAAAACACATCGCATTCAAAATTGCTCTTTCTTGCTTATCTGTGGCCTTACACACATGCTTCTACATGGCATGTCGTCGACACTCTCATAGTAAGAATTTCGGACTACTCTCTCCACCTCTGTGGACCTCCCGCCAGTCATGACGGTTGCCGAACGCGGTAATCTTGCATGCGCTGCTACCACTAACCGATGTGCCTTCACTGCCACTGAAGAATGGAATTCTGCTGGGAGCATCAAGCCACCTTCAAGGTCACGCTGTCGCTTGCCACTGTCACTTTTCCTAAAACAAAATATATCCTTTGTTCTTTGCATATTTCTCGTTGTTTCTTGGCGATCTCCCTTCTTTCCACTGCGCGCCGGCTCTGGCTGTTCGTGGGCTCCGTGCACGGAGGAATCAAGGAAGGAGAAGTGAAAGGGAGCTCTAAAATATACATATCATCCACATAATGATATGCTTACAGCAGCCTTAAGTATGTATATGCATACTGCAAGCATGTTTATGTACGCCTACACCTCTGGTGCCCGTCACGTTTTTGCATGCGCCAAAGCCTCTTTTGCTTGTTTACTGTAGTAGCTTCTGTACAAGTATTTGATAATCAATATCTTCTTGATTCGGAAATATATCGTCTAAGACGGCGTCTGCCTCTTGAGCCGACAGAGCCTCGCCAAAGTTCATGAGGCATTTCTTGACATCCGTTTTCCTCACTTTTCCTGTACCCATTAGATCCATCGACTGAAATAAACTCAACAGATCATCCGCTGAGTCTACATGCGAAGTCTTGCGACAGAAGTCTGCGAACATCCCCGAGTTCACCTCAGCCCCGCATTTACTCGAAAATGCCTTCAACTCAGCCAGGGAAGGAGATGCTCCTGCTGCTCGAGCTGCTGTGGCCAGCTGATCTGCAGGGAATGAGGACTTTCCCTTAGCAGCGGCGTTGAACGCCGAGGTGATGCTGCTGTCGGTAGCCATGTTGCTCAGATTCAGCGTGGACTCGCCCGCGGGAAACGAATGGGATCGCGCGGTCTTAGGCAGGCCTTAAAGATATAACTTATCAGGGAATTCCTTATTGTTTCCAGCGCTTACTGCTGTGGTAGCGCGAGCCCCTGAGATGGCCCAAAGCTCTCTCCCGCCTCGCTTCTTCCTCAACGGCTGTACAACGGAAAACCGAATAAACAACAGCCACCAAGAGCGCCAGACCTATGACGCATGAAAGGGGAAAGAAGACAGGGTGCAGAGAGAGCGTCCGGAAGTGGATGAGATAAGGCGCGAAGGGAAGCAAGCACGCCACGATCAGAGTAAGTATGAGTATCAGCTTTGGCCCAGAGCCCCCCGAGTCCATCTCCGCTATGTCTGACTCTTTTGCTGCACTGTTGCCCCTAGAAAACAGAACTCTATTTAATATAAGTACTTTGGAATGAGGTTGGGGCCCAGATGAGAAGGCAAGGCGACAACAAAACGACGAAGCGGCAAGTTGTTGGCTAGGTCTCGCAGGAAGACGGTTTAGAATTTTTACATGCACAAATGTTTCAGGTTCTCTTGACTAACGTAAAAAGTGCAAACTGTGCAACAGTAATTCCAATACGACGGGACTGGCGTGCAAGGCGCAGATAAAGCCATCGAGCCCAGCGCCTGTTGCTGTCGTTGCTGCTGCGCAGTTGCTGTTCGCTAGTCTCCGGCTTTGTAGCATGGCATGTTTGTTAGTTCTGTTTACTTCCCTTTTTCCTATCAGTTCTTATTCATCAGTAAGATTTTCCCTTGCGGTCGTTCCTTTCTGAAGCTTAATTATTTACAGTTCAGGTCGAGCCTCGTCACCCTTGTCGGCACCGAGCCGAAGGACTGGACTCCTACACAGAACCTCCTCATCAGCTCTACATTCCTTGCGCGTTTCCCAGTAAGTCAAGCAATGGTTTTTGCTCTGGTCATAATTTATCTGTGGCACTGTAGGGCCCAGCGGCACCTCAGTGCCCCTCAAGCAGGCAACAACTCACCGCTGAGCCGCGCCACCCATTCACATGGCCATTGTAAAGAACTAAGCTTAATCTAGCCTTTGCAAGAACAACGCCACAGAAATGCTAGAGCTTAAGGATGTGCACGGACCACAAACAACCCAATGCCTGCTCCCTCGCGCCGCCAGCTTTGTGATTCAGTCAAGTGCAACAAAGCGCGACATCTATTGCAATCGATTTGCTCATATATGCGTCTTTAAATTGCAGTTCTCAACAGTTTGACGCAGCAGGATGGAGAGCAGCAGGGGCAGCAGCTCGCTGTACGTGACCCCCAGAGGGGTCTCGACGGACGATATGGAGGCAACCAATATCAGTTTGCGGCACTTTTACAGCGGCCAGAACGTTCAAAAGGAGGCTCCAGAGCAGAAGCAGCAAGGTGCTTCACAGGAGCAGCACTGGGTAGACCAGCAGCAGTGGGAGCTAGAGCAGCAGCAGCAGTACCAACAATACCAGCAACAGCAGCAGCAGTACGGATACCCACAGTGGCAGCAAGGCGGGGGAGACTCAGCCTTCATGAATGCGGACGCGCTAAACCAGGCTGCAATGCAGCAACTGCAGCAGAACACGGTAGAAACAGAAGACCTGAGTAAGATGGTGGGTGAGGGCGAGTGGCAGCGTCCCCCCGCAACTTCACCTTCCTGGGACTACACACGAGCTCTCTCCTCGTACACTGGATTCACTTCGAAGAGATTTGACAGGGAGTGCTCTAAGCTTGGCATGCAGACCCAGACATCAGGCATACAAATGCGCAACTCAGGCATTTACGTGCCAGGAGTCACTCAGTGGAACGCAGTCACAAATACTCCTGTGGAACCTTTGGGAGGAGAAGGTAAAAAGAAATCACTACGGCGATTTTCTGTATAAAATGTATTCGTTTGGGGACACCCATGCGTAACCAGGGCTTGGCTGTATGCTGGGAGGTTTTTGTTTGAACGAGGCTGCCGAATATGTGTCATTTTGTTTCGCATCTACTACTTCTATCTTGGATTCTATTTGCATTTTATCTGCATTAGATTTCGTGCATTTATTGTACCTTGTTATATTTGTATCTTTTCTGTTTAGCGCGGACCCTCGAGAGTCGAAAGTTTACCTTTGATGCGACTTCTGGCAACTATGTGAATGCTCACGACCCTTCTGAACGTATACCCGCTGACCGCATGCACGAGCTGCAAAAAGCTCTATCGAACGCAGCAGTGGAGGAGACAGTGGTGGATATAATGCGTAGAAGGTCCACTCTGCGCAAGATGTCGATGGCATCGCGGCTGTTCCTAGAGCTCGAGAAAAAGAAGCTGTCCGCTATTACTGTCAGTCTTTTCCTTTCTCCTCTCACAGGCAAAGACAAGCTTTCTGTCTGCTCTCGTTTGTGGCAGAAGCCTTCTAGAAAGCAGTCTCAGATGAGCCCATGTTCCTGGCTGTGTGTGTGGCAGTGAAACAGACTGTGTAGTTCAGTGATGTTCCACGTCTTGTTGCCGCTACCTGTGTTCTTCGTTCCGTGTTTTAACAGGGTACTCAAGGTCTTCTTCCTCCGGTGGTTATGGCTTATCTGCCAGACAGATATATCAAAACGTACGACAGGACGAATTGTATGAGTCAGCGAATCTCTATGAGGCAGCACAAGAGCTGCGGAATGTGAATGCAGGTACTTTATCAAGAACTTCCGCTTTTCACCAGTTCACAATGCCCCGCATCGACTGTGCCAGGGGTTCTATGGGTGCTGATGTCAGACCGACACGCGCAAGCACCTACATCCTGGTTGTTCGCGGCTAGTTGATGTAGCCTTCCCGCTGCCCAAGCGTCAAATTTTCAATATGCATACAGTGGGACTTTTTTTTGTTCACGCAGCGTGGAAAAGTTAGACAGACTTTCGTGAGATATTCCTGCCCTGTTCCGTCTTCCGCTGGTAAAGAGCACGATCAGTACGCGCTAAACTCACCTCTCCGCAAACTCAAATTCCACTGACGAGCACGACTAAACGAGTTCACAAGATGCCTAGATCCCTGAGGTTTCTTTTTCCAACAGCTAGCTGAAACAGCCAAAACTGTAGAACACGAAAGCAGAAACTTGAAGCTGCAATGGAACTATGCCGTTAGCCTAGCTAGCTACACCCGTCAGACAATGAGGCAGTCTAATTACAGCAAAATACAGAAGATCAAGAGGAAAGGATGTCGCGGGTAAGATGAAACGAGTAGAATTATAATTCTCAGCAGCTACCCGCGAAACACTCCAAGTGCCCCAGAAGCTGACAATCTGACTGTTGCCAGCAGCTTCAACAAATGAAACATACCTAAGAAAATACCCACTGGAAAGAGTCAAGGCATACTAAATTGCTCTTCAGGAACCCAAAGTTCTCAACGTTAATTTGAATTCATAAGTACAACTGCATTACGACATGCGCACATGTTCCTGTACGCTGTTCGTCTCGATTCAGTGCTCATGCATTTTCACACGAGTCTCGAAGAACCGCGCTAGCTTAAGCCTTGAGCCGAACAGGGCTGACTTCGTAGATGGGTGCCGTTCGTTGCGGCCTTGACAATACAACTACACTTCTAGCTGACATGCAAAGGGCTGAGTATAAGTGGAGTGGATCCTTTCTACTTATGCTTTGTTGCCCGTGCCTCTTCGGAAAGCCGGCAGGAAAGCACTTCATTGTGACTGCATCGGCTCGCAGTCGAAAGCTGCAATGTAGGTGAAATAATAAAGGTCCCATCCGGAAATCGACATGAATTCCAAATCTTGCACCATAATTAAGCATAAGGCAATTGCATGTACCTATCCAAATGAATTTATACTTCTTGTTGCGCCACAGCTATTGTATCCTCATCGTCAGCATTTGTCCCTCCATCCAGTACTTCCCCTTCCACTGCCGAGTCTCCCAACAGCCTGGCCTCTTCAGATTTGCCTTGTTTTTCTGCAAGTTCCCAAACACAGAAAAACAATCAAGGGGCTGGGTGGGAAAAGAGGAAATTCTTCAAATGCATATAAGAAACTCACGCAGCATCACGGGTTATAGCGTGTGCACGAAAAGAGCATTGCCCAGCCAGTTTGGTGCACGCTGCGTCCCCCAACTTTCTGCTTCTGCGCACACACCACCCTCGGACCAGGGTGTGCAGGGCGATTCTGGCGTACCTTTGGCAGTCGCTTTCTCTTGAAGCTCCTTGACCTCCTTCCAACTCTTCATCTCTGTTCCATCGCCCCCTACGCTCATAACTGCGTACAACAGCACCCACTACCCATATACTACGTAGTACACGGAATAGAATCCAGAGTCCTTTTTCTCTGGATACAGAACAAAAGGCACTGCGACAGACTCCTGCCTCGGGCAGCTGTTGAAGAGGGCTCGGGCCGCGGCTGAAGTGGTAAGTAAACAAATTTAGCAGATATAAGCCCGAAGAACATAAGCGCATTAGCAATGTGCCAGAAGCCGCATTGAGAACGTCTCTGTCACATAAGTCAATTTCTAGCAGTTTTCTGCAGAGCTGCGCCCACCGAATGCATGACTGAGGAGAAGATGTAGAACATACGGCCTGAAAAACACACCAGAAAGCATGGACGAGCCAACATAGACTGGACAAAAAGCCCACCCTGTAGGGGCGGTTCAGGTTGAATGACACCATAGTGCGCGCCTATGCACACAACTGTACACGTGTCAGAGTACACTCGACTCTCACCCCAACAGCGCTTCCCAGCCGTAGAGAACAAACGGCAGCGCCAACGCGGACTGAAGGAGACAGAAAAGACATTCCTCACGTGGAAAACATTATAAAGCCTGTGTGACAAGGGCAACCAGGGAAGTGGTCCGTTAGTAGCAGTACTTCTAAGAACGCGTCGGTGGGTGCTAGGAGGTACGGTATGCCACAGAATGGGGACGTTGGAGGGTCTCTGGCTCACAGGAAAGAAAAAAGCGATGTAGAGGGCATTGACAACGATCATGAGAATTACAAAGAGGCAGAAGTCGAGAAAAAAGTCGACAGTCATCATGCCGATGAAGACATATAGGAGCATTATTTTCCGTCTGTAGAATCCGACGCCCCAGCAAAAGACGGCGACAGTGTCGAATACCCCTGCACAAAATTTGCATACAGGTTAAATTTTTAAGTAAAACGGCGGAAAAATCGTTCACTGTTTGCTTAGATATGGGTACAGCCCTCCTTGGAGGTAAGTCGCCTACCGCGGACTGTAGTAAGTAAAGTCATTGTTTTCCAGAGGACAGCCAGACTGTTAGATATAACGTTGTAGTACTTCAGGGCCGTAGTGGGGTCATCAAGAGTCATTATCCTGTCCCTTATATCTTCCAACAGTGAGTCTACTGGGCCCAAATACGATGTCAAGTAAGCACCCGCCACGAATTGCACCAACGCAAGAATGACACCTATAGGGAGAAACATCAAACGCAAATACCACCCGTAGATACTTCTGGACGTCCCACATGGCTGCCGCGCAATATTAGGCAACTACGGAAATTGCGCAATACGTCTTGAACCACATTCCACGAAGGCATTGGCACAGTGTCACTGGATGCTGCTGCAATGTGGTGGCACAGCTCCTTCTTTCAAATGAAGAACGTCGTAAACGCTGAAGCTTACTGATGCCAAGCCATATGAAGACAAAAGTCCGGAGAGAGCAGCATCCGAACGCCTTTTTTGCGCCGCCGCAGCAGGCCCCTAGAACGTTGCACATCTTGGAAAAACACAGCTGTGCCGCTGTTGGAGCTTAAGAGGAACTATATATCTTGTATGCCCGTTTGGACCTAAATGCTGGTTTGTAGAATGGTCGCCTTCCCTCGCACACGGAGAAGTGGGACTCCTTGTCGGGAAGAGACTGGGAAGGTCCCACTACTGAAATACCAGTTGCTCAACTAAAATCTTCCTTGATACTCAGTCGTGTTGCTGTCCGACAAAACTGAGAAAATTCAACGCGAAGCGCCCAGTCAGCTGCATGGGTGGCTCCTACTGGGCCTGCTTCAGCCGCTGCTAATCCATGTTGCCCCTTATTTAATTCCTTCCGCATTTCCTTCAAAATGAGCAAAACATAAAGCAAAAAGGGCAATGCTTTGTCAAGGGAGGCAAACGACAAACAGGCAGTAGCACCTCCGCCAGTGCGGCGTGGTGGCCAGCCACAGCAATCGACAGTTTCCCCCGAAGCCAACAGCAGAAATTGTCACCATACCCGAGATCTGGATATTTTAAATAATTAATTATGGGAAGATAGCAGGCTGATGAAAAGGAATTCCGTGTTGCTAACCTTTCGTAATAGAGCGACCATGGGGCCGCCACACCGACTAGGGGGTTGTTTGGGTCTCCCTGGGTCTGCCTTTGAGCGTGTCCAGGGCTTCGAGCTCTTATCTGGTTCATGCTCTTACATGAGATAAAACGTTGGAAATAAGAGTAAACAAGCAAAATGATGACAAAGAGGAACATTTTAATGCCTTGCCTGCAGTGGCAGCAGTCCACTGGACCAGCGTTCAAAAAGAGAAGCAGAAGGTATCACGACCCAATAAGTTGAATGCAGCGACACCAATACGGTGATTTTGATGCCAACGGATACACCAAAGCCACTGGTTGGTAATAACACATGACACTAGTACAGAGATGCAATATAAAAGGCGCAAAAATCAAATGGCAGGGGACGAAGCATACAACTGCACAAGAATAGAACTGAATAACCCAAAATACCGCATCCCAAATTGTGTCTCACTAAAAGTGCATTCGACTGAGGTAAGGGGAGCAAGAGCACCAGTCTGTGGGGTTTGACGTACGAAGTATAGTCGAACCAGACTACGTGTTACCGGTCAACTCGGCGCGAACCGGATAAACAGCAGGGGCAATAAGTAGGGTAAACACACCATGTTTTAGGAATTTTCGCCGCCACAAGCGACTGAAGGATGGTGGTCAGTTCTTTCCGCTTCCCCGCACAAACTGCTGGACTTAAACTGTGCAGCGTAGGCACATGGGAAAGCTGCATTCACCATGGTTTCTCTATATTCCTGAAAATGGCAAGGCCATATACGGTGTGAATACGTGCCTTTATTCATTACATATGCATCTGCGCGTAATGTTTGTATAATCACCGCCTACGCCATTCGTTTTTGTTGTAGATTACCTCTGCGCGTAATGTTTGTATAATCACCGCCTACGCCATTCGTTTTTGTTGTAGATTACCTCTCCTGGGGGAGGTAGTCTGACCGCTTACACTGCGTTCCGCAGGCTTTTTGCCTGGGGAATTGACTACACCATCAAAAGTCAAAGCACGTCTGATGGCGCGTATAGTAAATCCTGTTTTCTTTTGAAGGCACCGGAGTTCACTGAGGCATGAATTCTGTAAAGTGTTTTGTATAATTGTTGCTGCGTAGCGCAGACTATGACGGCCGACCCAACAAAAGAGACCTAGTGCGACCAGAAAACGGTTTCCACTGAAAACGGAGTCCTATTCGCAAAACTAGTTACTTCTAAAACCCTCGTCCACCCGCAGGGGCATCTCCATTTGCTCGCCCCAGTCCGCTAAGTTTTTTGCTGCTGATCAGCAAAAACCAATGTTGCATATTGCGTTAGCAACACGCATGATCACGTTTCCGTTACGGCGGCACAACTAATACACCTAAGAAAGACTCACACATCCTGGGACTAGCTGTACCAAACAAAGAGCAGAAACAAGTAACTGTACGTGCACCCCGTGCCGAGGCGCTGAAAATAGTCTTTCATAAGCGAGATAATGCTCCCACTACGCAGACCTCAACTGCACAAGCTTTGAACATATTCACGGAGGACCGGTCTTGAAGAGGGCCCCTATGGAGCGAGAGCTCATAGTTGGGCCTCAGGCACGGCCGGCAACTTGGCCAAACTATCTGTTTATTGCACTTAATTTTTCCCCACAGCTCTCATATGTCAGGACGACCGGGCATGGGAAAGCTACGAGCGAGGGCCTTTACCCGATCTCGCAGATTTGAAATGCGAGGGTGAGAAGGGCTGACATGCTTTCGGAACTCTGCGAGTTTCTTCCCCGACTTCTCTACAAGCAAACACAACAGCATAGTCCACACCACAACCATACAGCCGATGCGGCTGTCAATGGCTCGTTTCCTGCTTGTGATTCCCGGACGTGTGTCGCTTCACTTCACTGTAAGACCACCTCACCGAGGGGAACAAAGCTGCTTTCTTCAGCAAGTTTCCCAAAGGCTAGCTAGGCCGGTGTATATACGTATCAGTTATGTCTCTTCTATTCAAGCTTTTCAATATACGAACGCGCACGTTCCTACGAATAATCCCCATACCTGTTTGTACACCTGTTCGCATGTACAAGTGCACGCACATTGTGCTCTTAGTTAAGGCATACCTTGAATCTCACAGCAAATGTCAACTGCTTCCCTGATAAAATCTGCAACCAGCTTAAACTCCTCAGCGCCGAAGCCGCGAGTCGTCATAGCGGGAGTCCCAATGCGCACACCTGAGAATCGGGGCAAACTTCTACATAAAATTATATTCACTTAGCAATTGCAAACCACGTGCAAATGATTAAACCGGCCACGGGTGGCACCGAGGTAGCCATTTTGGGTTCCGCAGCGAGCTGCCTCTGTACCAATTCGGCAACAAGTGGTGCCATCGGTGGCACAATCTACCCACACTACTCTGATGATCCTCCAAGTAGTATTATGATGATCCTCCATATCCGTATAGAACCCCTACGTTAAGCCCCTAAACACTCATACCCTAGCCCACCCGTTGGAATTCCTGATGAGTCCCCAGCGATGGAATTCTTATTCAACGTGATGTTTGCCATATCACAAATCAACTGAAGCTTCGCGCCTGCTCGCAAAAGAAACGATAACCTCTCTTTTTGCCGTCATAAGTCATTATAACTATTAGAATTAAGACATATGAATCTATCTGGATGCTTGAGGGACGAGCTACACACAAAATTTCCTGAGCTGGCCCTCTCATTTGGGCGCAGAGGATTAGTATCCACGCAGGGTCCCGCAAAAGCTAGTCAGAGAAAATTGTACGCAGACTGTCACTGCGTCAACCTGAGTACCCTTGTCAATAGCGTAAATTGCTCCATTATTATCGCTTTCTCACCTCACCTGTCAGGCCCTGAGGCTTCAAATCAAGGAGCAGCAAGTGGTTGTCTGTCCCACCAGTGACGAGCTGCAAACCATGATTTTGTAGCTCCCGCGCTAGGACCTTGCAGTTCTCTAATACACAGCGCGAAAATGCACGCCATTCAGGCGTGCAGGTCTGAACGCAGATGCACCCCTCCCTCGCGCACTTAGTTGTTATGGCCGCACCTCACGTACTATGTGTTTGCAGCTGCAGTGACGTCACGAAGTGTCCGTAGGTAAGTAAATCATTATTGATCACTGATACGAGGCTACACCAATCTTTTCTGAACGAGGACGACAAACGGTGCCCTGCGTCACGCGCCTGCTTGAGCTGGTGAGCAACAGCTGCTATATGGTTCTCGTGGGGTCCTCCCTGCAGTCCAGGAAAGACTGCTGAGTCAATTCTAGAAGCTCCATTTGGTACGCGCCTAGTATTGACGAAAATAATCCCACTACGAGGGCCCCTACAAACAGACGCAGCAAGAGCATCTGACATCTGAAGCATAGGAGGAAGCATAGGAGGGACCGTGCTGTCTGCTTGCTGATGTGGTGCAGGGCATGCATATGAAGCACAAAGGGGATCCTTCTGGCATGATAACTTAACAAAGCACAACTGCCACTCCAGGTAATCGCACAGGCAAAAATAGTGCACAAGTGCCTGCCACACGTCAGACGGATAAAGTTCTCGAACCTGAGCGTCTTGTGAGTTGTCGTTGTCACTACATCGCAGTACTTAAAAGGCGACTCAAATATTCCAGCGGCGACGAAGCCGCTAAAGTGAGCCATGTCGCACCAAAGGATGGCCCCTACTTTGTCTGCAATTTCTCTAAACCTTTTGTAGTCCAGCAGCCTGCGCACATTCAGCCCCAAAATTGCAAAGGTACTGCAGGCGAATGGAATGACACGAAAACAGTAAGCTCAGAAAAAAAGAAGAAAGGCCAGTGGCAAGCTGCAAAGCTGCAAAGCCCAGTGAAAGCTGAACGCAACTGATGCCTATTGATTCATTCCCAAAATGCACTTGAACACCCGGCCATGAAGCGCTCGTTACGCCAGGTCACGAAGCCCTGGTGACAGCTGAGAAACATGGCCGTAGCAAAGCCCGCACCGATGACGTACCGAGGATAAGCTGAGTGCCCACAAATTATCATTTTTGGCCTAAACACAGTGGCTACCTTCTCCAGGTCGTCGTAGTCTATGAGCCCCGTTTTGGGGTCCAAGCCGTACGGCAATGACTCGTAGAAAAGTGACGTGGCGCTTATGCGTCGAGATGGGGTGTACGCTCCATGTGTCAAGTGGCCGCCTGAACGCATGACAGCAAATCACCGAAGTGCAAAACTTGTGCAACAGCAAGGTCCCACAGGAGCAGCACGGTCTGCTACTGTCCTGGCATTTGTCCGCACTGAGTTCCGAAGATGCACAGGCCTCTGCTGATGTCCCGATATTCATCCGCATCGAATGTATATGCGATGGCCAATTATGGCTCCAGCTTCGTTTCCTTTTGTGTATTGTGTGCCGAGCTACCGTCATTCAGTCCGAGGCCCATGAACCGGTCGTGGGGCTGCAGTAGAGCCATGAGGACGGCGAAATTTGCAGGGCTTCCGGAATGAGGCTGCACATTGACGTGCCATTCTTCCGGGTCTAAGCCGAACGCCTCCTTGGCCCGTTGGATGCAAAGAGCCTCGATCTGATCAACAAACTCCATGCCACCATAGTAGCGGGCTCCCACGGAGCCCTCGGAGTATTTGTTCGTCAGACAGCTCCCTAGACATTCCTGCACTGCTGTGCTTACGAAATTCTGAGAACAGGCACGGGTGAAGGCAGAGCGGCTAACCTTTTTGGGCCCCAAATTCAAAGCTAAAGGTGATTATCTTTTGTCGGCATGCACCACGCAGAGCTGGCCGTCCCAACGCGTCATCTAGAACCAAGGCTGCTGTGTCTGGCTCACTTCTGAGGCAATAAGCTCAATACAGTCAACTTGCCGCTCTTTTTCTTTCGCTAGAAGGGCGTACAACTCAGGGTCCGCCTCCTTGAGAGGCTGCATGCATTAACATCACCTCCACAAACTTTGCCGGCTGTGAATTCCCCATCCCCAGTCTCATGTGCAAAATCGAGGTCTACAAGTGCGTCAAATCAGACCACACGAGTTCATCGGGACGATGGGCCTTGGCACAGAGTATGCAGCGAACAATTAAGATCCATTAGCTGCCGATCCTTCAATCTCGAGTCCTTGAAAGAGTAAAGCGGCTCGCTTGTTCACAGCCAAGACGAACTGGTCCTAGCACAATATGGCACATAATTAATACTTGCCAGGTCAGCCAGAGAGATAGCCATCCTTGCTTGCATTGGGGGACGATGCAGTGATCCCCGCGGCGAGCCTGTGAGCGGCATTTCACCGCCTACAACGTTGCCCGGAACAACTGCATGCTAACGAGGCTGTCTTGGGGTGTAATAGCCAAAGGTATTGTAATTTAAATGAAACTTTAGGTACTGTGGCGGAAGGTTGAGTCACATGAAGCACCGACTAACGCGCGACGTGCTTTTTGGTGGGGTTGCTCGGCAGCAGTCCAATTCAGTGACCACATGGGATCTGCGGTGCCAAGGAGTCACAGAAACGTTTTGCTTAGTACCCTGTCGTAAAATACGGCAACTTTCACTAATTTAAGTAATTGTTGCCCCGATAGGGGTATCATGTGCTGAGGGTGAAGTAGTCGCAGCACCTGTAGCCAATGCCGGGGTGGCCGCTCCGGAAGATCTCCATCGCTATATCTGCATGTCTTATAGTTAGGACTTCAACGCACATTTTCCTCATCGTGACAGCCGGGTCTACGGCACTAAACCATGAGGATTCAGGAAGCTCGCCCCTCGGTGACCCACGACCACAGGACTTAGCCCTCTAAGGCTTGTCCAGTTTCGGCCCATTAAGCGTCTTGGAAAGGCTGAAAGCTCCGTACATGTCATCAACACTAATATTCTCCCCCTCTAGGTGGACCAACAGTACATTTCAGTCGCGTGTTTTGTAGCAAAAGTCAATGACGCGTGGGGGTGTGTGAGTACACTTCGGCTCCACGCGTGGGGGTGTGTGAGTACACTGCGGCTCCTACTCTGCATCAGACGGGATGCCAGCCTCAAGTCAACTGTTAACGAATATACTACCCGAGGACTGAAACCATCATAGCAATTACGTAGCAGAAACGCCGTGCACAACTGAAAAGGATGTTTGCTCCAAACAAAGTAGGCTTCGAGCACATGGCAGGAAAAGCAGCCAATGCATTAGTTAGAAAAAAACGGTTACGCGGCTGGCAAGCGCCAGCCGCGTGGCTCCCTGCTATGACATGCGATCCATGGGTCGCCAGCACAAAACTGGAAGAGGGTATCGCCGCTCTTTCCAATGCGCTGCAGTCCTTTTGGGACCCTTAATGGGGAGAGGGACTTGCATATTAGGCCTCCAGGCACTTCACGGGTCGCCTGCCGTCTTCCCTCATTCTAAGGAACAATCAAACAGACAAGACCATCAATATCCGATTAGTTCTGCTCTGATCACCCGCATGCGTCCTTGGCGCTGCCACAAACTGTCGTATCTACAACTTCCACACATTAAAACATGCAATCATCAGCGCGTGTGCCCAGTACAGTCGAACGCGGTCAATGCAGGGTCAAGGATGGACGCGCAATTAGCCTTCATATGCATACAGGGTCAAAGACGGGTGCACTCCACAAGAAGACGCTGAGCTGCTCATAGGGATGCGGCTAACCACTCATTAACTCATTCAAGAATGGGCCAAGCTTCTAAGTTAATCGTCCGGTGTAATGTTAAAACGTGTCTGCCGGGACACTGCGGGTGATTTGTCGTCTTGTTGCCGGGGCGAATTTTGGCGGGGATGCAGAGTTTTGGGGTCTTTGTGGGCATATTGATGGCCTGTAATAGCGGCATCATCACTCGCCTCAGAGCTAAGCCTGCGGTGAGTTACTGTTGTTGCGGGCGGCGGACTAGCTTGCACTGCTGGTAATGTACTATGGGGTGCCACCGTAGACGCGCTCCCCTCACGCCGAAACGTCTGCTGGCGACGTTCACTTCGTTCAATAGCTTCCCCATTGTAGGGATATGTGAACCACTGAGGGTGGTTATGGAGGATATGCTGTCTCAGCAGCGATTCATAGACTTCGAAAAAAAGCCTAGAAATACAACACATTCAAACAACACATTGGACCCCCTTCCCCTTTTGCCCCAGAAACACGGCGAGAATTTTTTTCCCTCAGCTGTAACTTACTTCATACTGACCTTTCTTGACACCCAGCCACAACGCGAAATGAGTCAACTAGCATTCAAAAAGGTGAAGAGCATACAGTCGTCAATCCTTTAAAATCAAAAACATGTACGCGGAGAGCGCTCGTGCACGCAATTGAACACAAAATCTGCGCACTTCGACCTACTTTTCCATTCGGCCATCGCGCCAGTCCAACAGGATTACACGACCGCTTGAATCCGTCAGGCTCCACGTGCTGGTTGTGGCGGAGGGCTGCTGTTTAGGCCGACAGCCAGTGCCCCGCGCCGTCCCGTTTAGCCTGAAGAAATTACAAGTATCGAGATCTTACGCAAAAGTGAAAGCAGCTGTCACCTGCATGTGGTAGCAAGAGCTGATTCGGCAAATTCATTGCTTTGGCATGCAACTCTAAAAAGCCACTCCACCACTTAATGCATTCAAGCCTTCACAAACCGCACTAAAACTTTTCCACTATAAGCTACCTTAGTGAGAAACAGCAAAACAACTTACCGCCTGACAGTACCCTTGGTGTGTGTGTTGCCAAATACGCCTGATTCATTGCGAGGCGCTGCCGGGGCAGTAGGTGCCGCGTCGTCTGCCTTCATCTCTGCTTCTGCCTCAGCCTTGCGTCGCCGGTTACGAGAAGTCCTCCGTTTGTGGCGACCAGCCCAACGAGACTCCCTCGACGGGTAGCGGAATAGAGCAGCACTGGGACGGTTCCGATGTGGGCCGCCTGCAGCTCCCGGTGCTTGGAAGCTCCCAAAAGTTGCCGGAGGTGCAGGACGCCTTTCCGGTTCAGAAAGAGACTTGCTGCTATCGGCATCACTACCACTGCTCATCCAGTTGCTGTGCGTCTCGTTGTTGCTACTAGAGCTTAAGCTGTTGCTGCTTAAATCACTGTCGCTGCTACTGTCCGCCGAATCAACCATACTACTGCTGCTACTGCGTCCCAGCCTGTCCACGCACCGACAAGGTGACAAAGGGGTAGCCAAAGGGAGACCATCATCTACCGTAGTCACGCCAGAGTGGGCAAGCTCTTTACTTTTCTCAGTGGCAGGGAGCCTGCTGTCTCGTGACGAATCCGCCGTCCTCGCCGAAGCAAGAGCAGTACCACGTGTTTTCAGTGCCGTGCAAGGATCTCCTACAACGTCTGCCTCCATGGGGGATTGTGCATCAGCCCAATCCTCAATAGTTGTGCACGACCTGACCAATGAGCCTTCTTCCAGTTCTGTACTTTGTTCTACCCGCTGAGGTGTAACCGATAGCAAATTTGCGCGGCTGACTGACGCGCTACTGGGGAGAGATGCCGCTGCTACACCTGCACCAAAAAAACCGCCGCAGCGACTGCAAATCCTACTACCTTCTCCTGTGGTCTCAGGCACGGTACCCTCATTATCTTCATCCCTCCTTTTCTTCCTGAACGCTTTCTTCAATTTGGCCTCGAATGACCCCCGCCGCAACCCCTGTTGCTGTGTGCCTGGATCTCCTTGTAGCTCTGCAAGATCCATAATTCCGAAGCCTAGCCTGTTAGTGCTCATCAGCGATGTGGAATCTAGAGCTAGGTAAGATATTTCCAGGCTTCGCCGAATCTGAGTAAAGCCATAAACGCACGTTTGTGATGTTTATGCACCTGAGCTGCAGTGCGCACCACATCCTACCTGCATTCCGGTTGCCACTGGGCAGGGGCTATTTCCAAACGCAGATTCGTCCCAATATTCACAGGATTCTCCATGGCAAGAAATAATACACTGCACCTCGTCTGAAGCTTACAAGGTGTTCCAGAGGCGACGGAATGTCGAAGTCATCACGCACAGCAATTGCTGCTGTCTCCCTAACAGTCAAGTGGTGGCGGGCGCAGATCTGCAGTAGCTTTGTAGCCAGACGCAGCGTTCTCAGACAATTGTCTCTCAAAGCAACTCGGCGTGACAGACGCTCCAAGTCCTTGTCTACGTCGAAAGAGTATATCAAGCGCAGCTCGCTTTCGCTGTATGGCTCCTGGGGAAACGCACAAGCAGCCAAGAACTACGGAACTATACAGTGAGCCTTGCTCAGTGTAAACATACGGTCGACCATTCACACTGGTTGAAGATTCCTTAAACTGGTGTCCAAAGTGAATGCACCAATAGATCACACACTGGCACGCGGACTAGCGCTAAACGTCTCATAGTAGGAAGTCCGTGAGACGCCGGAAGGAGACGCAGTTATGCAGATAACACTAGCCGTGTACTTACTTTGCTCTGGGGCCAATCAAACCACACGAGGTCCAACGAAGCGACGTCAAGAACATCCGTCAAGATCATGCCGTGATCGATTGGAATTAATCGAAACCTGCGGTTGGACCACCTGAAGCAACATCTCCGTCACGCTAAAACTCTTGTGGTATGTTCCACTGCTAGACGCTCGCCACGTGACCAGAAAGTATTGTGGAAGATTATTCGACTTACTTTGTAGGCTTCCCATCAGGTGTAAGTACCCCAGTAGCCGCAGAAGCAGCGGTTTCAGCACCAACTACTGCGGCCTTGTCAGCCACGCAAAGTTGAGTTCCGCAAGAGCCCACAGCAGAAACACTGCGCAGCAATTTGCTCTGTATCTGCTTAACAACCCCTCCTGAAGCCCGAAGGCTCCGCGAGCTGCTGCCAGCCGATGGCTCCTTTTGATACCCTACTATTGGAGCCACTAAAATGTTACTATCATTCCGGTCAAGATTCATAACACGTAAATCAAATATAGCAATACGGTGTACATCTCCAACAGAGAACAGACGCGCGTCAAAGTTCCC